CTGCATGGGATTCTCTCTCTCCCTCTCTCTCTGGCCCTCCTCTGCTCACTCTCTTTTTTTTCTCAGAATAAATAAATAAACTTTATTAAAAAAAATGAAAACAGAAGTTAGTAGGGACTTTCTTTGAGTAGTGGTGTTAAGCATGATTTCTTTTAAATGCATTCTTTTAAATGCATTTGCCTGCATTTAAAAATTGTTAATAATGAACCATATTGTTTTAATAATTAGGAAAGAATTGTAAAAAAAAAAATTAACTCCCAGAAAATATACAATTTAAACTACACTTTAAGGCAGTTGGAAAAAAGGCTAAGGAAAATCTAGACATCTTTTCACATACTTTGAGAAAAATATATCTTTGAAAAATATATAAAAAACATAACATTTATAATTTTCATCTCGTTTATTAACAATTTTCTTTCCATTTATTGCTTTGCAGAACTTTTTAAAAAAATTTTAATATTTATTTATTTTTGAGAGAGAGAGAGAGAGAGAGACAGAGTGCAAATGGGGGAGGGGTAGAGAGAGAGGGAGACACAGAATCAGAAGCAGGCTCCAGGCTCTGAGCTGTCCACATAGAGCCCGATGGTGGGGCTTGAACTCACAAACCGCAAGATCATGACCTGAACCGAAGTCAGACTCTTAACCAACTGATCCACCCAGGCGCCCCCAGCAGAACTCTTTTAAGCCAAGATGAATGGCAGGAGAAAATTTCATAGACTTATTTTACAGCTAGTGCCTTTTGGGGAAAGGAGAGGTGGTGAGAAGGGACAGGATTCTTGGGACAAAAAGGTTAATTCAAATCTACTTTCAGGAAAGAAACCACTAGCCATTTGGAGAATGAGAACAAAGTTCACTTCACAGCAGTCTTTGTTTTCCTCTCTGCTAGATACAGGACTGAGAAAAAGTAAATGCACAATACCTTTTTTTGTTTGTTTGCTTGCTTTAATCATAAAACTATTCCCTGAAGAGTTTAGCTAGAGCAGTTGAGTTTTGGTTTGAAAAAATTAGAGAAGCGATAAAGGAGAAGGAATTGCACTTCTCACTGCCTCCAATTTTCTTCTGTAATGAGTTTCCTGCTTAAATGTGCGTGTGGCTCGCTCTCTTTTTTTATGGGAAAACATGTGCAGAGAGGCTCTTTCAGGAGCCAAGTGTCCTTACAGCGATCAGTTTGCTCTGTTGGGGGAAAACACATACAATTGGTGCCGGCCCAGCCCTAGTGTGGGAAACATTTGAAAGAACATAGAGGGTGTTGTTGAAAAGAATAATAGATTAAGGATTTTTATTTTTCTACAGGCTTTTTAAAAGGAAAACATAAATATCTAATAAAATAATCAGATATTGCAAAAGAAAAATGATGTCTGAAAGTGTTTCTCAAAGTGCGGTTTGTGGACCATCTGAATCAAAACCTAATAAATAGTAGGTTTAATCGTGGAACTGCTGAAACAGAAACTGTGGGAGATGAAATTACATTAAAAAAAAAATACGTGTGAACACATTCTAAGTCAGAGGTCAATGAACCATGAGCAGTGGATCATATCTGACCCACTGCCTGTTTTTATAAGTAAAGTTTTATTGGCACACAGCCACACTCAGTCTATGGCTGCTTTTGTCCTAAGATGGCAGAGATCAGTGTAGTTGTGGCAAAGAACTCTATGGGCCTGTAAAACTTAACTGTTTACCGTC